AAATGATAATAATGATATAAATAATAGAAATATAATAAATAATATGTGTGTCCTATTTGGCAGATATGGCAGATTTGGCAGATCTGGCATATATGTTATATTTGACAGGTTCATCAATTTTTGCCAGTTTTAGTGTTTAATTTGATAATTTCAGTTTCCTTTTTGATGAATGCTAAGTAAATAACAATTGCAATTTAAAGATGTAATCTATATTCAATATATAATAAAATTACAGTATTATATATAGAAATAAATTGAAAATTTATGAATTTTTATTTTTTATGATGGTAACAATATTTTTAATTTCAGTATGAATTTAGTTATTAATGAAGTTTTTATTGAAAAAGAATAAGACTAAAACATTTAGATATTTAATACTATCTTAGAGACTATATCTCTATAAAATTTGCATATATTTTTTATTATTATAAATAAATTTTATATAAATTTTTTGAAATTCTGTATCACATTTCCTTATATTTTGTAAGGCATTATTTTTTAGCATTTTTATAAAAAATAATGTATAAGAAATTGTTAATTAATAATATATAAAAATAATAATAAAAAATTATATTTATTACATTAAAAATTATAAGATTTTTATAATAAAATTATATGTTTTAACAAATTAATTATATAATTAACTCTTGTTATAATGAATTCTATATTTTAAACTTTAACTTACTATAAGGCTATAATAAATATTTTAAGAGATTTTATTAGTTAATTTATTATAAAAAGAGTATTTTATTATATTTATTCAAAAAATTCATTATATTAAGAATTCGCTATATTAAAAGTTAATTATAATTATAAAATTTATACTTATTTGCTACTATTATTATAAATAGTATTCAGGCATAATGAGAAAAAAATTTAAGTTTTTAGCTAATTTTAATATAAACTAAATCTATTATTCATGATAAATGTAAAATAATAAAAAAAAATTATATTTTATTATATTAAAAATAAGATTTTTACAATAAAATTAATATATTTTTATTAAAAAAATTCTGTTTTTTTTAACAAATTAATTTTTTTTGTGATTGATTTATATTAAAATAAAAGAATTTATAGATTTATTATAATTTATAAAATTAGTACTTATTTGCTACTATTATTATAAATAGTAATTAAGCTGCATGATGAGAATGTTAGCACTTTAATAGTCTAAAAAAATTTGAGTTTTCAGTTGATATTTGATATGAATTAAACCTTACTACTCAAAATAAATATATAGACTTAAAATGTTTAAAATCTTGTTTTTCAAGATAAAAGAATAAAAATAATAAAAAAATAAAATTAATTTAAAAAAAAATGTTTGAAAAAAAATAGTAAAAAAAAAAGCAAAAAAAAAATGTATATTAAGAAAAAACTAATATCTCTGTGCTGATATAAACTGAAATTTTGAGTAATTCTAAAAATATTAAAAGAAGATTAATGTTAGTTCTAATTGCACAATTTACAGAGTTTAATGTAGCTACTTATCTTCAAAATCTTTCTTATAGATTATCAGTCAAACACATTACTCATACTATATCAAACTATCATTTAATTTAGTCAAAGTCATAAGGATATTTAGAGAAAAAGCTTTTGAAGAATTTAAAGAAGCTAATTTAGTTAAAAGTAATGATGAGTCCACTTTTGCAACTAAATGTACTCTTTAATCAAAAGAAAAGCTCAAACTGCTATAATTAATAGCAGCATAACCATTAGCATAATTATAAAAGTATTATTAGACAGATTAGATTATAAGATTGATCAATTATTAAAAATGATCATAATTATGATAAACAGAGCTAGAACCTATTCTTTAAAAATTATTAATAATATGCAAGTAATAATTAAAAAATTAAATTCTAACTTCTTTTCAAGTTTTAGAATCAAGAAATAAAATTTTAATTCTAAGTAATGACTGGCTTCGAAATTCAAATGCTAACATGAATTGGAAAAAATCCATCTTAATTATTAGAAAAAACTAAATTATTATCTGGATTCTGGTCATCTTCACAAAAACTTTGAATGTAGTAACATATGATGAATTAAAAAAAGTTTTTAAAAAAGATTACAAAGAGAAATATCTTAAAAAAATACCAATTTTTTTCTGATTTCTATAAGGAAGATTTGATTGACTAAAGTAAATTGAAATTTAATCTGTGAATAATTTACTCTTTAAAAAGTTTAAAAATTATCACTAATGATAATGATAATACTAACTAATAAAAGTTGAAGAAATAAATCTAATTATATTTTTAGCTAAAACTGCTTAAAACGAACCTTATCTATAAACCAAATTAGACCTCTTGATCACTATTAATAAAAGCTCTTTCAAACTCTTTTGATAAACTATTTTAATATCTGTACTAAAAGTTAGATAAAGATTAGATAAACTAACTTTATTAAATATCAGATATTGACTGAAGATTTCATATCTATTATATAAACACTTTATCGAACTAATCCTAAAATTAGAAATTCTTCAAATAAGAAATTGTTAAAATAGAGAAATAAGAAATAGTCTGGAAGTTTTCAAATCCTTGAACTTCATCTGTAATAATAGTAGATAAGAAAGATGGTAATAAAAAAATTTGTCTTGATTATCATAAATTAAATATTATTATCAAAGTTGATGCTTATTCTTTTTCTAAAATTAATGATCTTTTGAAAAGTTTTAAAACTGTCTAATGGTTCACTATGTGTGAGTAGATATTGGTAAATAGTAATGAATGAAGCTAATATTGAAAAGACAGTATTCATAATACCTTTTAGACTATATAAGTTTTTAGTAATACCTTTTGGATTAAGCTATATGCTCAGAACTTTTTAACGATTAATGAATAAAATCTTGTTAAGACTTTCTTAAAGATTTTATTATTATATATTTAGATAATGTAATAATCTACTCAAAAAGAAGTTTTAAAATACATATAGACTATATACAATTCTTAGCGAAAAGAATAACAGAAAGTTTTTTTGAATAATAAAAATTTTTAATAAATAACTTTCAAAATTTTTTTTATTTTTAAATACTTTTGATTAAGGAATTATATACTCAAAAAATTAAAATATAAAAAAGTATTCTCCTCTGTTAATCTGGATTTAAATACAAGTTAAAATATTAAAAAATTAGAAAGTTAGCCTTTTTTCTTATTAATTTAACTTTATGCTTTTTATTTTCTACTTCTTTAGCTAAAATATATTATTTTTATTGTAAAACATTTAGCTAAACATTTTTTTATTAGTAGGTGAAACTCATTAATATAGTAAAATATTTTGTAATCTTAATTTTAATAATCAAATACTCAAATTTGATCTTGTTTTACAATCACAAAAATTTTTTTATATTAAAATATCATTGTGGACTTTAGATAATACAAATAGCATTTAGACTAGTAAAATATATAAAATACTATATAATTATTTATACAAATCCTTACAAAAAAATATTAATTATATAGTAAAAGATTGCACTACCATTCTTTTTATCAGAGACTGTATACTAAGTATTCAAAGCTATTCAGAGTATAAATCTAAAATTAAGTTAAAAAATGTTATTTTTGCTTATTAAATATCTATTTCTTAGGGACAAAATGGAATTCGCCTTGACCTCAAAAAGATAATTAAAGTGAAGAATTTTCAAAACTAATAAATTTTATGCAACTTTATACTACTTTTAGATTATTTTCTTATGATTAAAAGTTTATAAAAGATTTTTTAAGGATTGTCTAACCTATGTTTACATTACTAAAAAAAGATGAATCTTTTATTTAAGAAATTAAACAATAAATAGTTTTTGATAAATTAAAAGAAATATTAATTAAGGCACTGATTATAAGTTATCTCAACTTTAACTGATCCTTTATTATCTATACAGACATATTTAGAATAGACTTAAGAACTGTTCTTTCTTAAAAACAATCTAATAAAAAGGAGCATATAATTGTTTATGTAAGTCAAAGTTTAAACTCAGCTAGAAAAAACTATGTAATTATCGATCAGGAATGCTTGACTATAATATAGGTAATACACATTTTTACAGTGCGCGAAAAAAATAATTGGAATAAAAATTCTATGCCGAAAAACTTAAATAATTCCTGTAATAAACATCTGTTCGGCAAATAATTTTACTTGATTACACAATAAGCATATTTATAAATGTTGATCACTTTTTATTTACGTGTCTATTTATGATTAGTTATGATTTATTACTAATAATATGGCAAACAGTTCTTTTGCGCAATGTTATACAATAGTAGTCACATTATAGAAAAATGGTACTCACGATGCTAAAACTTTATACTCTTTAACCTCCATCCCACTTTCTACAATATACGATTATATAAAAAAACTTAAAAAAAATATTCAATTAGAGCCTTTGTCTCGTCCAGAAAGACCAAAACACCTTTCTCCCAAAAAATGTCGTCACCTTAGAAAACTTGTTTCAGCAAATAAATTTTCTACCTGTTCTGAGTTGGCAAACATTTTAAATGGAAAACATCTTAACCTTAATATAAGCAAAAGAACTGTGCTCAATGAATTTCACAGACTTAATTATGTTAGTACAGTCCCAAAAACAATTCCTTTACTTACGGATCTTCATAAACAACGCCATCTTGAATTTGCCATGAAATATCGAAAGCAAAACTGGAATAAAGTAATCTTTTCAGACGAAACCACGCTTCAAATGT